CAGAAGAAATTTGTACAGCCACTTTCCTTACCGTGGTCATCGTTACAAGACAGGACTACGTCGCCCCCCTCCCCCTATTAAATTATAATTGTCCAATTATTTTATTTTTATTTTGACCACTTCATCTTTAATTACGTGTTATTCTTGTAAAATTAATTTATTTATCCATTTCTACCTGTTAAATGTGTATTGATTTTCTGCGTTAATTATCAACCCATTGACATTTTGACACTGTTTAATTATTGTTAACAAACATATCACCACTTGTTTGGTAAACTGTTGTGTATTGTAAAAAATACTATATATATTAGAGTAGAGCCAGAAATGAGGATCTAATTGAAAAGTAAATATTTCTTCGCTCAATCTTTCTGTTTTTCCAAATGTCTAAATGGGGATATTTTCTATATTTAAGAATGTTTATCGCCGAGAAGATCAGTTAATTTGATTGAAACCACTCTAAACAATCATAAAATAACATTTCAGGGTTCTTGTTTTGTTTTTTTATTGTCAGGTCTAATGTGGTGTTTGTAGTGGTAGTGTGAGTAATCCTGCATAATACAAAATTTTAAGATGGTGATAATGGCGTTCACAACCAATGATTGTCAGTTAATATTGCCGAACAACAAAAAAACAACAACCACAAAACTAATAATTACATGATGGTTAATGACAGGACAATTTTGTAATACTCATAGTGCTAATATAGTCGGAACCAGTAGATACACAAAAGAAGGAATACAGTGAAGTACAAAAAAGTAAGCCAATGTTAATAATTTAGGTAGCTAAGTATGTTTAAGAAGGAGTTCACTACAGAAAACAAAATAAGAGAGAAATAAAAGAGCCTAAAATTATGATTATTAACAACAAAGCAAGTCATAGGTTTCGCGCTTAACATTCTCTCTGTCACTTAGAACACGGGCCAAATATGGTATCGTTGAGTTCCTGTACTTGGTTGTACGAGCATAAATTATTTTATACTGATTTCTGGTTCTACTTGATGAGATACAAGGCGACAGTTGGGAATAGAGGGGGTGTTGGGGGTCGGAGAGTATGGTTTTAGACCATTTTTCGCATGTACTCAGATGCCTTTCAACTAATGTAATGACGAGCTGACTGAGTTTTACACCACTAGTCCTACTAACTACCTTCAACATCCTTCTCAGGATGGTATAGTCCTTTTTCAGTAGACCAGGAAAGACTAACGGGGAGCAGTAAAGTAGAATAGGTAAGATACAAGAGTTGACAAATTGTGAAAGTAGAGGTTGGGTGATTCCAGATTGTCTTAGTTTCTTAATGTAGTAGATTAGACAGAACACTTTCTTAGAAATCGTTAGGAAATGAGATGTCCAAGTAAGGTCGGAAGATAGGAAGATGATTATAATGATAGGAATCAAGCTTCGAAAGTTCTTAGAGTGATTCATCTAAAAAAGAGGATCAGAGCGGTGAATGAGTCAAGAAACATGTTGACGTATACAGTTTTATCTCGACAAATTTATATGGCAGAAGTTAGTTTAACCTAACTCGCATAGGACTTCTATGCGGGGAAATTGAAAAGTTTTCTTGGAGGTAGATACAAAACTATTATCCTAAGTAACTGTCTGTCTGTTTTCGATATAGAACTTTGCACCGATCCTATGTCAGCTAACATTGCCCGTCGAGGAAGGCAATGACTAGGCATACGTAACACATGTCCTAACCATCTCAATCGGTGTAACTTCATAGCCTTGTCGATTGATTTCCTCCTGCTTACCAACTAGCACTCGACCGATGCCTAACCTCAATATTGCTCACCCTATTATACCACTTCACACAGGAGATAGACCGCAGGCACCTATGATCAAAGACAGCTAGCCGACCTTTTCATGTCTTCCACTCTCAATGGCCAGGTCTCACAGCCAGCCATAAAGGAGGACGAAGAGGACTGCTGAGCAGTACACACGTCCTTTGGTCGACAGCCAGCCGGATATTACGTCTACGCCAGAAATGACGTAAACCAGCATATGAGAAATGAGCCTTCTATATCCATGCTGAGACTTCGTCAGTGATCAACCCGTTGGCACTGGCTAATGCAACTTCCCAAATAAATGAAGCGATCAACCTGCTCTACCACTTCACTCCTGCCTATTTCTAAGCTAGGAGTCAGTGTAGTCCAATCCTGTAACATCATCTTACATTCGACAAGGGGAGCGAATGGCATGCCAAACATTCGTAGATTGCTACTTCTCAAGGTGCTTAGAAGACTCTGCATTTTGTCAGCGTCTTCACCTCATCTTTTTTTTTATTCCTTTACGTTCCCAGTGGAACATAGGGCTCCAAGCTGGAGGCTTGAAGTTTCTGTAGCGGTGTTTATTTTTACAGGATGGGGTTGCAAGACTCATGTCCAACCTACCCTCTTTACCAGTTCTATTACTAGCTTAGCGAGGTAAAGGAGTGCGTCGGTGGCCGGGGATCGAACTCCGGACCATGTGCATGGTCGGCGAGCGTCCTAACCGCTGCGCCACCGACCTCATCTAGGAGGAGATTATTCCTCGGTTGATAACAAGTCAATCCTTGAGTCGCTGAAGTCAACAGTTAGGGTTAATTCCATTAGTGTGTACATCTATGATGAAATTACTTACTTTACTTTACTGCGGCTATCTCCTACGGGAGGATGAGCCGGCTTCATGAACATCTCGAATCATCGCTGCCCAGGCGCGGCGATCTGATGCAAGGTTTTGCGACAGGGTTATCCAATTCTTGTTCCACAAACGGAGTCCGTAGACGGTTTGTAGCTCCAGGCACTCCATATCAGCCTTGACTGTACCTCGTTTGTAAGAGAGGTCATGAAGTTTCATGGGAATTTAGTACGAGTGATGTCCCCAGAATCGCTCGGCCTTTTGTTTGACAGTGCAGCTCTAGCCTTTACACAACCAAGTGTGACCTACAAGGCAGTAGGAGTGGAGTAGGGAGTCCACTATCCATTGGCAGCCGGTGACCGGAGTTCGGTTCATACGCCTTTTTGAATGGGGCCAGACATCCAGGACATCCAACACGCCCTTTGTCCATACGTCTCCCGGTGAGCTCCAGTGAGCTTCATACGCCAGTCGTTGGAGGTTTGGAATCAGGGTTTAGCCATCTCCCCTAGACTGTCATCCAATGGACAGTCAACCCGGTGAAGAGCGCCGGGCATCCGCTTTCGCCCTCTCACTTTGGTGAAAAACACCTCCACCACGTGAAGGCAGTGAGTAGGACTTCCTCAGAAGAGGCTATGTAAGACGCCCGGTCATATGGGAGCATTTCAAGAGGTGTGAGGAGGAGTGGCCAACCCGCAGCGCAAGGCACCCACCCCCGACCATCCTGAGGCTTTGGAGGCTATGATGAAATTGAATAGAAATGACTATCCCTTGCCCAAACGGACACCACTTAGTTGTCACCCATCTGAGATGACAGCTCGTCAACAACAACAGCAACACCAGCAACAACGCCAACAAAAACTAGTATTAACTTACCTGTAAAGCAGATATAGCATTTGGTATTATAGTTATTTTATTATTGGAAAGATCAATCACATTAATTGGTATTGATGAGATACACAATTCGACAGGGAATTCAGTTAAATAATTATTCGATAGATTCACGGTACGTAGACAAGATAATTCCGTAAGATTGACAATAGCACTTGGATTGATGAAATTCACTAGAAGATTATTACTCACATTTAGTGATTCTAATTTTGTTAGTAAATATAACTGTTCTGGAAGATATTCTAGTTAGTGAGGGGGGGGGGGTAGGAGAAGGAGGACGAGGAGAGAGGGGGGAGAGAAATGGAGAAACAAAAGAGATATACATTAGACATTACATCAACTCGTAAAAGAACAAATCTAATTCCTTACAAACCAAACTCTTAAAAAAAATTAGCCTGATACTCGCTAGTGAGTGACTTGCTCTAAAGGACAGAGTTTCCTGGAGTGAGTTCTAGTGAGAAGTCGTGACCAGTTAGGATTCATGGACGACTGACTGGTTATTGGACGATCGGGTCCCAGTGGCTGAATGGTATACGAACCAGCTTGACATGTAACCGGAAGATTCTAGGTTCGAACCCCAGCATGGCGGTGGGTGAGTCTATCTCTGTCTGGATTCAACATAGAACTTGCCACCGAAATGCAGCAGTTCGAGTTGCCACGTTCCAAATACCACACAAAGGTAGTAGACAAGAAGATGAGTGAGGAAGAGAATCAATAGAGTTTTGACAAGTATAAGAGTGAAACAGAATGAGTAATGGTAGAAAGGAACATGAAAGATTACAGAGACTGAATACATCTGCATAAGCCATTGACAACGATTTTGAGCCATGTCACCTATTGTCTGTCTCCAGCCATTGATTCTTATAGTCCCGAGGGCGGGCCCCAACCCGGAAGTCTGCATCTCCCTCCCTATCTGACTCAGTTTAACTGTCAGGGATTTCATGGATTGATGAGGTCATGTTTTTGTTTGGCCACCACTTACTCTTTTCCAACCAACCTGCACCTATATCAGCTAGTAATGCCCGTCTATCGGGGGAGGCGATGGTTAGGCATGCGCAGCATGTGACCTCGCCATCTCAATCTATGTAACTTTATAGCCTCGTCGATTGATTTTCCCTCTTTGCCCAACACTCTACGCCTAATGTCAACATTACTTACCTTATTATACCACCTAACGTGAGAAAGAGATTGTAAATATCTATCATCAAAAACAGACAACCCTTTTATGTCTTCAACTCGTATTGGCCATGTTTCAGAGCCATAGAGGAGGGCGGAGCGAACTGCTGAGCAGTACACACGTCCCTTGGTTGATAACCGGATGATTGGTAGTAGTATTTTCCATATTTCGGGTATGAGTGATAAATCATTCCTATTGCACGTGTGTTGGGTGTAGATCCACTCGATGAACAAGGATTCCATACCTCTCAACCTCTCACTCCACCTACCTAGATTGCTTTTTAGAATTTTAACCCTCTCCCACCCTACTGTGTGGTTGTGTGCTAATGCATGCATTGCAATTGCTGAGCTTTTCTCTAAATTACTTATTTTCTCGGGGTCAACCATTCTTACCTTAGCTAAATTCTTATCTTCTGACAATCTGACTACCCCTGACCTACTAGTTTGACCTATGTAGTTGACCTGACTCACAGTCATTGCAGGGTATTTTGTAAATTATATTATTTTGTCTAATTGGGTCAACTGGGTCCTTTAACCTACAGAGCTTGTCCGACCTGAGTGAGTTTGTAGGTTTAAATGCCACCCTAATTCCTGCTTTATTTAGAATCCTACGTAGGGTCTCAGATGTCCCCTCTTTATATGGTATAACTGTAGATGACTTATATTCTCTCTTATTTATGTTATTATTGATAGTTTCACAATTATTTTTATTTTTATTTTTTGGCCTTTTTCAATCTTCCTAATGAATTTTAAAGGATAGTTATTTAACACCAACGCCTCTTCTATCCGTTTTATTTCATCGTTGAGGTCTTCTTTTGTGCTACTTAGTGCCATTGCTCGGTTTGTTAAACACTTAACTAAGCCTACCTTAACAGTTAAAGGATGAGATGAATTAAAGTCTAAATATCTATTAGATTACGTTGGTTTTCTATAAACACTAGTGTGTAGTTTGTCTTCTTCTATTCGTTTTATTTTACACTAACATAGCTAATTCTCCTTGTTCATTTTCCGCTTCAAATGTGAATTTTATTCCCTCTACTAGTGAGTTTATATGTGTCAAGAAGCTAGAGAGAGATATGTTCTGTTTTTAACACTGTGAAAGTGTCATCCACATATCTCCAGCATATTTTTGGAGTAGGATTAAACGTATTAAGAGGCATATTTTCCCATCTATCCATAAATTCCTGAAAAACAACACACTTTATAATTACGAATTGAATTCTATGTGTTAGCAATTCATCCAAGTGGCTAAGTTTTCGAATGGAAAATGTGATGGGTTTGGATGTATTCAAGGGTTGGGTTGATATGGAAAGTACTCTGTGGAAGAAATTGGAGTTTGCGAGTCGACGTGAAGCTAGATGAAGGTGACACTGTGGAAAACCGCAAACGACCGCAGAGAATGAATAATAATATTATCGTTATAATAATAATAATGAATCTAAAATACTTACATTACTACTGAAAAACGAAAAACCAGTGAAAAGATGTGTGAACTGATTTAGTAAAGTTTTGGGATAAATTGCGTTTTCAATAGAGCCCGAATAGCTCAGTGGTAACATCTGTCTCTCTCTCTCTTTCTGACTGCAGATAGCACTGGGTGACGCGGGTTCGAATCTCAGGAGGGACATGAATTCCTTCAACATGGACCTACCTACGGACCACCGTAGGTAGGGTAAGTCGAGATGTACAATTTTTGGGGTCGACCTTTTCTAACCGCCTATCTCCAGAATGGATAAACAGCATAGCTGGTATGCTGGTCGTCCAAGGGAAACACCTTGCTGTAGCTGTTACATCCCTGTTCCCCAGCAGTACGACTTCGCCGACAGACCCCCAGCATAGTGTAAAAAAGAAAAATTCTTACACTATGCCGTTAACTAACCTCGCCTAGTTAACTAGCTCGCTAGTTTTCTAGCCGATCCCAAGCCCGGGTAAAGAGGGAGGGTTGGGTGTGGGGCTAGCAACCCCACACCACTAAATCTTTCAAACCGCTAGAAAAACTTCAACACATAGATAAGAAGACTCTGGAAGATCTGGATTTCGGAGATGATATATGTCTAATATCACACAAACTCGAAGACTTGCAAGCGAAAACCAACAAACTGGCTGAAGAGGCAGCGAAAACAGGACTCCAGGTGAACATAGAGAAGACGGAGGTGATGAAGATAACCAACGAACCACAACAACAACAACCAGCACCAATCACCATCAACGGGAGAGATTTAACAGAGGTTACCTCCTTCACTTATCCAACCAGGAAGCATCGTTTCAACTACAGGCCGGCGGAACAGACAAAGATGTCAAAACCAGTCAGAATCGGAAAGGCAAGATACTCACACTTTCATCAATCTGAAATCTGTTTGGAAATCTCCCGCTGTCACTCAGCACAAGGAACAAGATTCGCATTTTCCACATCAATGTCAAGTCGGTCCTTCCATACGGTTGGGAAACTTGGTGTGTAACGAAAAGCGTTTTCAACAGCATCTTGCAGACTTTTATCAACAGCTGCCTTCGCTGGTTCCATACTGAAGATCAAATGGCCAGCCAGAAAGAATAAGCAACAAGAAACTATGGCTGAGAACAAACCAACAGGCAAGAGCCGATCGCTCAACAAATATGTAGGAGAAAATGGAGATGGATGGATCAGGCATACATTGAGGAGGCCACCGAATGACATCGCACGCCAGGTCAGTGTTCGAGTGGAATCCCGTTGGGAAACGTCGAGTGGGTCGTCAGTGCGAGGGTGACATGGAGGAGATCGTGTGACGAAGAGATGAGAGAGTTTGGTCAATCGTGGACCCAGATGAAGAGGACGGCAGAAAATAGAGCAAAGTGGAGATGTGTTGTTGAAGCCATCCTTATATTCCACTCGGAACGCAAGGGAATAAATAGTAAAAATAATAATACTGCCGGTAACTGCTTACAGTCTGTCTAATCGCTATCCTATTAAGCCTACAGGAACAATAGTTCCAACCAGTGTAGCTTGTTAGGTCATTGGGATATGCAAGCTTGACCACTAATGTCAATGTAGCAGCAGCGATCGGTTGGGGTTCCGCTCATAACCTAAGGCAACAATAATAATAATAATACGTGAAGTATCTACACTGTGTAATACAATATAAAGTTACAGGATTTTCATCATGAGCTGACATTAGTTAGAAAACCATTGGAAAATCTGGGAGTACTGGACAGCTGTTTCGTCCTGGTTTGGGACTCTTCATCGGTACGCACCCACCGGGTTTCGAACCCAGGACCTTCTGGTTACAAGGCGAGCTCGTATACCATTCAGCCACTGGGACCCAATCCAATGGCCCATGAATTCTAACTTCTGCCAATTCACGATATAGCGCAACCGCTAGCCAATGTCTTCGGCGAGTATTTTTCCTCACACCCGACCTGCTGCACCCTACTGGTCACGACTTCTCACTAGAACTCCCGGGGTGTGTGTGTGTGAGGACAAATACTCGCCGAAGACATTGGCTAGGGGTGACGCTATATCGTGAATTGGCAGAAGTTAGAATTCATGGGCTGGTCATTGGATCGGGTCCCAGTGGCTTAATGGTATACGAGCTAGCTCGCCTTGTAACCAGAAGGTCCTGGGTTCGAACTCTGGCGGTGGGTACGTACTGATGAAGAGTCCCAAACTGGGACGAAACAGCTGCCCAGTACTCCCAGGTTTTCCAATGGTTCTCTAACTAATGTCAGCTCATGATGAAAATCCTGTAACCAATCAAATTCTTACAAACCAACACTTGAATATCAATATAAAGTTATCAGAATGGCAAGAAATGACAATAATAATAATAATAATAATAATGACAAACGCTCATGAAGACTTACTTAATCTATTATTTTCAAGATTTAAAACTTTTAAACCTTTCAATACAGATATCCATGAATCAATCACTTCAATTTTATTATTTGATAAATCTAAACTTCGTAGATTACGAAGACGTTTCACTTCTTCAGGAATCTATTTATTTAATTTTGACTTTATTTAATTTTATTGATATGATCAACTTACCTTTTTCAATTTTAAATTGCTCACTTGTAAAACACCAGTTTTTTCAGCGTTTTCCAATCTTGGAGCTATCGTATTACCCATTAAGCATGGCAAGTAGAATATTTGACAAGAGTTGAAGAGATGTTTTCTTTTTACTTCCCTTCGATTAATCGATTAATCGATAGATGGATTGATTGATTGATTAAGTGATGAAGTGATTTATCACACTGTAAGTGAATACATCTTAAATGGTGAAAAAAAGGGAAAAAGTTAGTTGAGTGAGATCGAAAAAGTTCAGTTTTTGGCACCCAAGAGGCATGAACATACAAGTGATCTTACAAAGAGCAATAGCGCTAAAAAGTAGATTTGGTTCTACGCCGTCTCTGGCGTAGACGTGATATCCGGTTGGCTGTCGACCAAAGGGCAGTCCGCTCCGTCCTCCTTTATGGCTGTGAGCTAGACCTGGCCATTGAGAGTAGAAGACATGAAAAGGTTAGCTAGCTGTCTTTGATCATAGGCGTCTGAGTTCTATCTCCCCTGCATGTTACGTGGTATAATAGGGTGAGCAATATTGAGGTTAGGCTTCAGTCGAGTTCTAGGTAAGGAGGGGAAATCAATCGACGAGCCTGTGCTGCTGCTGCTGCTGGATTCAACATAGAACTTGGCTCCGAGGTGCAGCAGTTCGAGTTGCCACGTTCCAAATACCACACAAAGGTAGACAGGAAAATGGGAGAAGAGAATCAATAGAATTTAGATAAGAGTGAAACAGAATGAGTAATGGTAGAAAGGAATATGAAAGATTACAGAGACTGACTGAATACATCTGCGTAAGCCATTGACAACGATTTTGAGTCATGTCACCTATTGTCTCCAGCCATTGATTCTTAGAGTCCCGAGGGTGGGCCCCAACCCGGAAGTCTGCATCTCCCTCCCTACCTGACTCAGTTTAACTGTCAAGGATCTCATGGATTGATGAGGCCACGTTTTTGTTTGGCCACCACTTACTCTTTTCCAACCTGCGCCTATATCAACTAGTAATGGGCGTCGGGGGAGGCGATGGCTAGGCATGCGCAACACGTGACCTAGCCATCTCAATCTATGTAACTTTATAGCCTCTTCGATTGATTTTCCCTCTTTGCCCAACACTCTACGCCTAACGTCAACATTACTTACTTTATTATACCATCCAACGTAACTATATTGATCTTCGTTATTACTATTCCTTTTGTCTCATATCCCTGTTTACTCTGGCTATTTTGCATTTCTTCTCTTGCTTTGTGTGTTACATGGAGTGTGGCAACTTGAACTGCCGCACATCTGTGCAAAGTTCTATGTTGAAAACAGTCAGTCAGTTAGTTAGTCAGATTTGGTTCCCTAACCAACCCTAACACCTCCACAGTTAAGCTAACAGGCGAAGTTAAATTTTAGACAGCGACGGAGTGCAGACTCACCAATGACCTTAAACGGATTAGTTGTGTTCTTCGTGTGAGTTCAAGCTATTATTCCGCTCTAACGAACTTATGTTTTAAATTTGGTGTAGACGAAGTATGCCAGTATTGTTTGGATGTGAAACTAATCGCAAGTAGAGGAATTCCTTGATATTGGAAGGTTGAAGGCAATCGACAGGAAGCGGTGGACCTAGGTTCCGTACTAGTTGGCACTTACCAGTCAGCAAGGCATATCTGCAACCTTATTATTATTATTGCTGCCTTTAATTCCTAGAGGATCATAAGGATTCAGCCGTGCGTCTCCATTGCGTTCAATTCTCTGCTAGAGTTTCCACATGGCTCCAAGTCTGCCCACAAGTTTTCATCTCCTCTTCACATGACCTCCTCCAAGTCACCCTTGGACGACCAAATCGCCGCTTCCCTTTCGGGTTCCACTCGAGCAATGGCTTGTCTAGTGATGTCACTTGATGGTTTGTTTCCTCAGAGTATGGCTAATCCATCTCCATTTCTTCCTGCCTATTTGTTTCACAATCGGTTCGTGGCTGGTTCGCTCATTGCCAGAGATCTCTGTTGCTGATCTTGAGTATTGAGCGAAGACGACTGTTGATGGAGGTTTGTAGTTTGTTTAAGGTGCTTTTTATGACGCGCCAAGTCTCTGATCCGTATAGTAGTACTGACTGACTTCACATTGGAGTTGAAAATCCCGATCTTATTTGTGATGCTGAGTTCTGTTGACCTCCACACAGACTTGAGAGTAATGAAAGCTTGTCTTGCTTTTCCGACTCTTGCTTTGATATCCTCGTCAGTTCCGCCTGTAGTTGAAACGATGCTTCCCAGATAGGTAAAGGAGGTTGTTTCTTTCAGGTTCCTTTCATTTATGCTGATTGTTGTCTCTTGTGCGCCAAAAGAAAATCTGCAACCTTGAAAGGACTTATATCCTTTCTGAGATTCAAATCCGTGCCAACTAGAAGGAAACCTAGATCAAGCAAGGCTTCCTATGATCGATTGCCTTCAACCATCTAATATCAACAACTCACAGTATACCGTGATGGCGAGCCGCCACCTAGTGACATGGTGACCACATTTCAAACTTGTCTGACGATAGAATTCAGCGTCCACCGAAGATAGGGGACTAGACACACATTACACTAGTTAATGACTAGCATCCAATAAAAAAGAGGAATTTGTTCTTGTGAAGGTATTATGAGGATAGAAAGTCTCAGAAGAGCTATCAATAGACAGACTTTCCGTTGTAAAATTTGCTGGAGGCGAGCTAGTGTCATGATGACTAAATTATTTCGTAAGAACATTTTTGCCAAGTGTCACTTGTCATTAGCTCAGATTTTACATATCTGCAGCCATTTGGTATTGAAGCATGGTGTGAAGACTATAGCCTCTGAAACTGGAAACAGTTTTGTTCCCATCGTTCAGTGACTGACTGACTGGTTTCAACATAGAACATTCCACAGATGTGCATCATTTCGAGTCGCCACACCCCATGTAGCACACAAAGCAAGAGAAGACAGTAAAGACGACTTCGAAATAGAGAGATAATAAACACCAATGTGAGGAAAAAGAAGAGTAATATCGAAGAACAATAGAAGTCTATTCGATATTATAAATCACACGGAATATGCACATTTGATCACAGGGAATAAAAAGACAGTTGCAGCGAAGAAAAATTTTCTTTTCGACGAAGTCATCATCTAGGCTGTACATTCGTGTATTTATATCAAATGGATGGGAAAGTTCCAGAACAATTTCTGGTTAGGGGTTAAATTAATAAAAAATTACAATTAGGAATTAGAATGGCATAATAAACAGGGGGATGGGTAAAAACTCAAACAAAGTAGGATAATTACTAAGAAGATTCACATTGTGCAATTGGGGGTTAGAAATGTAAATGTAAAATGCAGCGAGAAAGTGATCGAAGAAGAACTGTGTAATCTCCGAAAAACCCTGATGGAAAACGGTTTCCCCGCCCAGGTTCATAGACAAGAATCTCAAACCTAAGAAGACTTCTGAACAAGTCCAATCCGTCCCAAAGAAAATACTTCTGCTTAATCTAGAATTCAAAGGTGATATTGAAGCAGAAATCCTTCGCAAACGCCTCTCTAAATCGCTGAGGAAAACATACTTCGCCGCAAGCCTACGACTGACGTTTTCCTGCAAGAAACTGTTCAACCAGAACGCGAAAGACAAGCTGTCGCTTTGGGCCACCTCAACGTGCATATACCAGTTTACTTGCTCTTGTAGAGCTGAGTACATCGGCCGTACCATGCGCCAACTTGGAAAACGCGCTCGTGAACACTACCCAGCTTGGCTAGTAAAAGGAGAGCAAAAACGTGCATACAGTTCAGTGACAGAACATCTGGTCAACTCAGGACATTCAGCGCCTTTCGAAAAATCCTTCAAAATAATATACAAGATTCAATCAAACCTATCAAAGGGAGTAAAATTAAGACATCTGGGCATAGCTGAAGCATTAGCTATCCAAAAACTCAAACCCACTCTTTGTATCCAAAAGAAATACGTCCAACCCCTGTCCCTGCCATGGCCATCGTAAACAGGTAAATTTTTTAATAATGACCATCCCATAGCCTTTCTTATCTAAATTTCTTGTTTATTCATGTTATTTTAAGTTTTCTTAATCCCTGTCTACACTACCATATTTTCATATTCACACTTCCTGTTTATTTTGTCATTTTACTACTTCTACATATTTAATCCCTGATTGCATAAACAATTATTCATCATATTAGTTTTTTATGCAAACATCCTGTATAGTTTGTTATTTCTACATTTCTAACCCCCAATTGCACAATGTCAATCTTCTTAGTTATTATGCTACTTTGTTTGAGTTTTACCCATCCCCCTGTT